GTCAGTTCGGCATCTTTGGAAACCTTAACAATCTTGACCAACTCATCTTGGCCTTTCCATCGCCCGACGAGGGCTGTTCGGTCGGCCTCGAGAGGCGCTCAAGTTTGGGGGCTTCTATGTTGATAGCCGAACTTCCCCTTCTGACGAGGAGTACCCGACAAGAGAGACGGCTCGGGGTATAGGACCAAACCCGACGGATTTAGCGAGACGGCATCACTCAGAAGTCGTACGGCCATAAAACACTCGACAATTGCCGAGTACGCAACCACTTTGGCAGCCGCCGAGCGTATTAATTTCTGATGGGACGTAAACCTATCTCCCTGTCGGCGACACGCGCTCACTCCACAATGACCAGATTGCCTCTGAGATTCGATATTAATAATTGCGCATTTAATAGGGGATTAATTACCAGATTTGGTAAAGATCTTGTACTACATGTAGTGAAGTACACACACATGAACAATAGGTGATAATACCACTACAATAAATAGCAGCTTGTGTAATGTTTGAGGAATCTTTTGGCCAACCAAAGATTCGGCTAAAAGACTCCGCCGAACTAATCAGCCAGTTCGGCATATCAATATATAAAAACTTTAATAAATTCTTATGTTTACTCTAAAACATTAGTTGCTGCGAAAATTGTTGGCAACAATACCAATGGAATTTATTGCCGTAGGATTTTTCGATGGAATATACAAAATTTTTTGTAGTGTAAGGACCAAATTGAACAATAATGTGCCAAATCAAAAACTGAATTATAACGTACATGTATCTTGTTCATAGTATGTCACCTTTAGTCCTCTATAACTGAGTATTACTATAATAAAAATTAGATTTCACTTAAGTTTTATGCTTAATAATATGGACTTGCAATTAGGTTTTTCGCTAAATTTTATTTATATTATAATTTTTGATATTTTTCTTAGTATTATCCCATCTTATGATCAAAATGACATAAAAATCAGAGAACAAAAATTTTTAAAAAAATATATATTTTGTTTTAATTTTAAATTTTTATTATTAGTTGTACATATAATCGTACCTAAAATTAAAAGTTATAATTTCTAAAGTTGATATAAAAAAAATGTATCAAGTATGGAATATTTATAAATATAAGATTTTTCTTAAAAGCATATTAAAATTGAGTATGACTAGTAATTAGTTTCAAAAAAATATTTGAAAAAATAACTAGAAATCTCTATAACGTCGAATGATCCGCTTAATAGTACCGAATTCCAGATCAAACCAAAACATAAATATTTTCGAACCGAGTAGTTAAAATTTTTTATACGATTTCAAAGATTTTCAAATCTACGGACCGAACAGTTACAATATTTTATACGATTCCAAAGATTTTCAATTATACGAACGTACCGATTCATGGTCACCTCTATTTGTAACAAGTATGAAAAGATGAAATTTCCCACGAATATAGAAAATAAATATAATTCCATGTTGAAATATATTAAATAACCGATTCCATGTTGAAATACAGATAAATAATTCCATATAAATAACATAAAATTAAATAAATAATATAAAAATGAAATAGGGTTAGGATTCAGGTGAATTTCATGACGTGTCTTCACGAGCACTTGAGGGTATGTCTAATTTTGTGTGAGATTTCATTTTATTTTCTGCTTATATTGTGAAACCTGATATATCCCATTACAAGGTTTTGACCATGTTTTGTATATTATTTTGGAAAAACAATAAAGTATATGTAAAAAGTGAGACACGTTTTTTTACTAAGAGTACTATTATACTTAATAGCAAGAGCAAGGTTGACCATATATATATATATATATATATATCATTCAGAGTAATCTTTAACTCAGTAGAAAGTTTTGAAACTTGTCACACTCAAAGATAGAAAGGATTATTAAATGCATGGAAACAACAAAAATGTTGACTATCTGACTTGTTGCAGCAAATCCTTGTTTTGTCTTTTTTTGTTCTTTCATTTGTTTTAAGCAACAAAAATGACTCTGACTTGCCAAGAAAGTCTTGCCACGAAAGTTAATAATAAACTATCAAATTTGAATTTAAACTTCTTTTTATTTTTTCAAGGTTTTGGTTTTGGAACGGCCAACTAAAAAAATATTGAACCAGAAATTGTCGGAGTAATTACCAGATTTGGTAAGGATCTTATACTACACGTAGTGAAGTACACACACATGAACAGTAGGTGATTGTACAACTACTATACATAGCAACTTGTGTAATGTTTGAAGTATCTTTTGGCCAACCAAAGATTCGGCTAAGAGTCTCCGCCGAACTAATCAGCTAGTTCGACATATCAATATATAAAAACTTTGATAAATTCTTATGTTTACTCTAAAACATTAGTTGCTGCGAAAATTGTTGGCAACAATACCATTGGAATTTATTGTTGTAATATCCCGATATTTTAATCGGTATAAATTAAGTTTTAGTTCCGATATAATAATGTTATCGTTTATTATTTTCGGAATTAATTATTTTCAGTCGAGATTACCGAAATCTATTTTCGACGTACCGTTTACGTTCGAAATAATTTTGGTAATTCAATATTATGTTTAATTAAATGATTAAACATAAAATAAGTGATTACTTATGAATTAATCACAAGTTAAGGCCCATTAGCCGTGAGATGTTAAAAATTGGTCC